AGAAGAAACGAAATTAAAAAGTTAATGATGAAAGGTGTTGAAAGTATTATTGCACAAGCAAATGATGATTTATTACAAATGGAACGTGAGTGTAGTAGAAATATTACTGAAAAAAAATTAGTTCAAGATAAAGAAATTGCAGCACTAAAGGATCTTGAAAAGAAAAACGGAACAATTTCAGCACCTATTGAACCAATTAGTGATTGTGAAAATGAAGTTAAAATTATGAGACTTTTTGCTGGATTTGGAGAAAAAATATTTAACAAGTGGTGTGATATTTATCATAAAGAAATTAATACAAGAAGAATTTATATTAAAGCTAAAATTTTAAGTGCTGAAGAAGGAATGGAACAAAATAAAAGAGATGTTGAAGTTGTTAGAACATATGAAGAACAAAGATATTATTTAGGAAAATATGGAAAAGAACAAGAAATGACTAAGTATTGGAGAAAAAGATTAGATGGTGTTGACGAAATTTTAAGAGAGCTTCAAGCTGTTGAAATAAGAAAATTACAAAAAAAAATTGAATTATTGAAAGAGAAAAGTACTCAGTCTGAAGTTATGCATCGAATGGTAGCTGATTGGTTAAAGAAAGAATTTGAAGATGCTAAGACAAGAACTGGTGTAGGTATTCCAATTATAAAGAGATATAAAGAAAAGATTGAGGCTCAAGTTCAACTACCCATTCTAAATAAAAAGAAACAAGAAAAAGCTTTTAAACCAGTTACTACTACTCAACAAAACAAACCAGTTAGTAATACTCATAACCAAAAAAATCAAAACAATAAACAAATTAATAAAACTCATCAAAAGAATCAAAATAAACCTAAAACAAATAATATAGCTAAACAAGTATCTAAAGCCTCTACTGCTGGAAAAGAAAGTTCTCCTATGACACCTGCCTTGTCTAATGGAGAGTCAACAGTTTAAAAAATAAATTGAGTCATAAATTTGTTTTCAATTATCATTTTAAATAGTTATTGAAAAGCAGCCCACATCACCATATCATTTAATTTATTTC